TCTTCGAGCCTGTCTGGCACTCTGCATGTGTGCGAGCGCCGAAACAACAACAACTGCTAAACATGCACAAAAATATGCCAACAACAATTTGAAGTTTTTAAATAAAGCGTTTCGTTTGTTTCCAATGTGCGCTGGCTCTCTGCTGGCGCGCGCTCTCTCCCTCTCTCTCTCTCTCTGTTTTCTGCGTTCTCAGTTCCAAGTGCTAGTTCACAGTCTAAACTGGTTTTTCGGTGCGGGTGTCAGTGTGCGTCTGTGTGAATCATAACAAAAACAGCAAAAACAACAACAAGAAAACAGAAGAAACAACAAAAACAGCGGCGACAGGCGACGCGCAATGAAATTGAAATTGTAGCCAAATCCAACGAAAAAAAAAAGAAAGAAGAAGCAACAAATGCTGGACAAGAGACGGGACAATGGAATAAATGAATGAACCAAATACATACATAAGTACATGTTTATGCATGTGTGTGTGTGTGTGTGTGCATAGCATAAAATTGGATAAATCGCAGCTTCTATCGAGAGCAGAATTTTGAGCATAAATTATGCGTGCCACCCGAAGTCTTGTTTTGATTTGTATATTCTTATATTCATGCTTAAATTAAGCGTAAGCGTACTTTATTTAAGGCAAAAAGTTATGAATAGTTCTTTTGGCAGTTGCGTCTTTTAGCTCCGACAAAGTTCAAATGAACTACTAAACTTGTTCAGCTGTTCATGAACGAAAAAGTTCTAAGTTCACTTTTGACTTGTTGAGGACAGGCAAGACGTTGCCAATTATTGCCACACTTTTGTATCATAATATGTAATACATATATTGAATAATCAAAATAATTACAGTTTTTTTTAGGTACATACTGAAAACATGAAAACGAAACGTTTAAGCTCAACTGAATAACTGAAATAAATGAATAGTTCATGATCGACTCCATAATTGAACGACTGAACTAAATGATCGATTCAGTTCACGACCCGAAAATGAACGAGTTCTCAGTCAGGTTTCATCACAGGAAGGCAACTATCGATAGCATTTATCGTTGTTTCAGTTATGTTTAGTTATCGATATTATTCAAATTATTATTATTCACACGAAAATATATGTACTATGTACTTGTGTGAAGTGCTGATGATTTTGGTCTGTCTGTCAATTTTTTACACGATTCTTAAAATACAAATACAAATCATAAATAAGCGCCATTCAAACGTGATTGTATAACAATTTCAAAGTAATAAACATAATCAACATAATTGATATGGAATTTGTTCATGCTAAAATGATCAAGTCATTATGTACACACACACACACACACACACACATATGTATGTGTATGTGTGTGTGTGGAGGAAACACAATTGTACTTTATATATCATTTTTTTTTCTGCTGTCAGCCAGTTGACGCCCATTGTGCGACGCTTCGCTGCCTTCTCAGGGCCAACGCCATCAAAATGGGCAACAATTGAGCTAAACAATTGGGCTACTACACACACACACACACACACACATAGACACACATAGGCACACATACGCGTACATTCCGAAAAAGAAACGACGCACAATCGAACAACAACAACAACAAACGAGAGAAAATGCTGGCCAAGTGTAAAAAAATGAGTAGCTAAGGTACATAAATGCCAAAGAACAGGAAGGCTTAAGAAAAATGTGTAGGGATGAGCGTGGGGCCAGCGAGAGGAGAGGAGGGGAATGTGTGTAAAGTACATCGATAATCAAACAAACGCACACACACACACATACAAAAACTGTGAATTGAAAGCCTGAGAGCATGGAATAACTCATTGGACGACGGAGGTGGGGGTGCGGAGTGCGGGGGTAACGGTAACGTATCGAAATCGTGTTCTCTTATCTTATCATTGCTTTGTCTTTCTACTTCGCAGAAACGCAGCCGCGATCAGTGCGCACGATCGAAGGGCAGCGAGGGGAGGGTATTAAATGGAGACACGACAAAGTAGACGATCCTGACCGTGAGACGCATACAAAAAAAAAAAACAGAAGGGCAAAAAATAGGAAACAATTACAACGTGGTGGGGGAGGGAGGGGGAGGGGGGGTATCGATTGATCAAGGGTTCAGAATATTAACAGTAACAGGAAGTGAGAGACCAACGAGCCGTGACGTACGTGTTTAACTGCACTAGAAACAGGGGGTTAAAGAATGAGAGAGTAAGGGAGAGCGAGCGAGAGAGAGGCAGAGAGCGAGAGAGAAGAAAGCTACTGCCTTTATGCAACAAAATGTTTCAGTTAGCGTTCGGGATATCTTGTAAGAAATAAACAAACAAAATTTGTTAACATGTTTTATGTTGATCGGGAAAATGTTTCAAAGTAATAACTAACTGTTCGACCTATTCGTAATAGTTGATCAAGAATATATATACTCTACGTTTCTGCTTACTAAAACTGTTACAAACTCTATTAAAGAATTAATATACCCAAAAACAACAATATTTCATACAAAAACTGTAAATTTGACGGATCGTATGACCGTAAGGTACCGTATATGGGATTTACGAAAGAGAATTTATACACTGGAATATGCGAGCTATTGGAATATGAGTATTGGAATATGTGCACTCTACTTCCCATATGGAAAAGTGGAAGAAAACAACAAACTGCTTCTTCATTGGAAGAACATCGAGTCCTTGCGAAATTCAAATTAGGCAGCTGTTCCACAAAATATATGTATGCATATGCCATGGACAGGCTAAGACAGGGTATACAGCATGTCACCTACCAGAATGATGTCCCGCATCATCGTCCGCTGCCGTTGCATTGCTCTGCTGCTCCGACACTGATGTGGAGGCGCCTGCTGCTTCGGCTGCCTCTGCTGCTGCGACGCCGACGGCAGTCGTTGTTGTGGTCGTGTGTAAGGTGAGATCCTTCAGCATGAAGCGCTCGCAGATGAGCTCCTCGCAGTGGTCGGTCTGGAAGTAGGCGCTCAGCTCGTCCAGGCCCAGCGGGCAGACGTCGTAGCTGACGTAGAAGTGCTTGCCCCAGCTGCCGGTCGTGTCGCTGGCGCAGCTGTTCGACGCCGACAGCGCAGTGCCCGACGGCATGCCGTGCGGCAGCATCACCAGCGACTGATGCGCTGCTGCTGCCGACGCCGCAGCCCCTCCGCCGATCGTTTTCAGCAGCGAATTGCTGCGCGACAATTTCGTCGAGTGCGCGCGGCGAATAAAGCTCAGCGATTTCTTTGGCGGCGATGTGATCGTCGCTGCTGGGGGCGGATGCGGGGGCGTGGCATCCGCAGTTAACTTGGGCGTCGATTTCAGGAGAAACAAATTCTTGGGCGGAAAACTGTGCGTTAGAATGGAGGCAGCCGAGGCGCTGCTCTGCAGTTTGTAACTGGAACCGGAACCGGAACCAGAACCAGCAATGGAACCGGAGCCGCCGGCGCAGTTGTTGCTGACGTCCAAATGGCTGGCGCTGCTGCCGCCAAACAGCTGACGTTGCGGCAGCTGCTGCTTGTTGTTGTTGCTGTAGTAGTGCGCCGTATCGTCCAGCGTGGCCGCCTCGCGCAGTGCAACTGACGGCGATAGGTTCTGCGGCAGCGTTTTCGCCTTAGCACGTAACGTGATCAGCGTTGTTGTTGTTTTTGTTGTTGTTGTTGCTGCTACTGCCGCTGCTGACGTCGTTGCCAGACCGCGCTCCACACTGGGCAGCGGCACAGCCAAAATGTTTGTACGCGAACGCGACTTCATTAGCTTAATGGGCGTTGAGGTGTTTGTCTGCATGCGGCTTATCTCTGAGTCATCGTCGTCGACGGCAGCGGCGGCGGCGGCGACGGAGGCGTCATCGTCGACGGCAGCTGACGATTGACGCGAGTGTGCGGGTGAGAGCGAGAGCGCCTGCTGTTTGGGCGGCGTTGCCATCACAATGTCGTTATCTTCATTGAAGTGTGTGCGTGGCGCACACCTGGCGCCATCTGGCGGCATATTAGGAAAAGGCTCAACGACAATGCCGCTGCTATCGTCAGCGCCGCTGCCGCTACCGCTGCCATTGAGGCTGATCACATTGAGCACAATGCCATAGCGTTTGAGCTTTGACGCTGGCGTTGACGTCGATGTCGATGTTGACGTTGACGTTGATGTCGCCGTAGCCGCTGTCGCAACCTTAAGCAATTGCTGGCGCTGGCGTTGCTGCTGCAGCTGATCCTCATCATCAGAGTCCGAGTACTGCGCAGCAACGTCGCTGCCGCTAATGCTCCAATTGAAGCCGCAAGGCGGCGACATTTTGCTCCCGCTGCTGCTGCTGCCGTTAGATTTGCGCTCAACTTTTTTAACTGTATTGCCCTTTTTCCAGCTGTTGCTGCTCAAACTGGAGCTGCTGCCGCCGTGCGGCGCTAAATGGCGTTGCTGCTGCGGCTGCTGCACAACGTTGTCGTCGTCCTCGATGACCAACGGCACGTAGAAGGTGGAGCGGCGACGCTGTGTCTTCTCCTCCTGCGTTGGCGTCGCTGCGGCACCACTGTCGCTGCTCTCGGCGCTGTTTCTAGTCGTTGTTGTTGTGCTGCTGGCGTCGCTATGCGCCTGCAACATTTTGCGCGTTTCTTTTAATTGTTATTCCTGCTGCTGTTGCGCTCAGGCGCCGCGCACAACATCGCTCTCTCTCTCAAACACACACACAGGCACGCACGCGCGCGCACGACTGGACGAAGAGAGCGCAGTGTGCAGGTATTTCTATGTGTGTGTGAGTCTGTGTGAGAGACTCTTTTTCTGTTTCTGTATGCTTGTCCGTTTGTTGTGGCTTCTTTGCCTGCTGCTGCTGCTCTGCTGCTGCAATTTGCTGACAAGCAATTTTTTCTTTTTTGTTGTTGCTGTATTTCTTTATGCTTTTTTGCTCGGTTTCGTTTGTTGTTGTCGTTGTTGTTGTTGTTGCTGATGCTTGTGTCGCTTGGCTTATAAAAATTATGCGCTCAAGTGCATTTCCGCGTTTGCGACCGAACGTTTTATATTATTTTTTCTGCTTTTCTGTTTTTTCACGCGTCGTTGTCGCCATTTGTTGTTGTTGTTGTTTGCCGTTGTTTTATCGCGGCTTCGCATCACATTCGCTGCGTTTTGTTGCATGCAACACAGCATTTAATGACTTGTTGTACGAAATGCACACGCACTTTTGATTTGTTTTAAATATCAACAAATATTTCATATATATCAAAACAAACAGTTCAAAACAATCACAATTAAAATAACATTAAAAAAAAACACCATTTACGCACGCACAAAGTGAAAGAGAGAAACGGTGCTAAAGTAACGCGACACTCGGAAGATGAGGATACATTGTATATGGAAAACTAAACCACAAACGCAACAAAAACAAAAATAAAGACAAGACAGAAAAACGCATTGGAAGGCGTCTGCGTTGTTTTCGTCTTCCCGCTTCGCTACCACTCGCTGACGCGCCTTTCTCACAACTGACGCTGCCGCCGCCGACGCAGCCGTTGCTACAGCGGCGGCGACATGGTCACGATAAAAATGCGAGAGAGCGATTGGCGAGAGAGTGAGAGAACGATCGACGCTGTTTGCTTCAAAACAGGGCTGGAAGGTAACACAACCAATTGGGAGTTGTTTATGTTTATATTTGTTTAAAGTGAATTTTTATTTATTATCTCATAAAACGGGGCATATAATTATGGCAAATATTGCAAATTATACGATCGGCGATTTGCACTCAATAATTTGAACAATTTAAGTTTGAATTTTAGTTGAAAATTTACATTTAAAGGTCGCAGCCCTGTTCTATTCAAGAGAGCACGCCACAGTGTAGCCAAGCGACGCTGCCAAATAGAAACAGTGCTACCCATGCGCGTTGACAAAGCCACCGAATCGACAATACAAGTCGGCAGCGTGAGCGAGATGGCGCGACAAAGTGCAAGGAGCGTGAGAGAGCGAGTCAAGACTCAGTCATGCGAACACACAAATGCACTGCAATTGAGAATATGCCCAAACATACCAACACATAAACACTTTAATGCATGAATATATAAATAAATATGTATATAGTAAGCGCATGTACATAACATAAATTGGTCAACAAAGCTGTCAAAGCACATCTTTATTAATAATAAAAAGTCTCGCTTCAAAAGTGTTATCAACAGACTGTGAAGGAGTTTGATTATAATGTTTACACATACACCTATATAACGTACATATATTTAAAATATATTTATATGCATATATGTATGTACATTTGTCTCACATTTATAAGCAAAACTGTCACAGCTAATTGATTTTCTCAAGTCTTTTGTGATAATTGTTAATAACACACACAAGAAGTGAGACGAACTTCGCCCCCCGCGGACTTTTTTCTATTGTATTAACAAGTTTCGATCGTATCGTTAGATTTTGCATGCATGTTTGTACGTGTCCGTGACAAGTCGCATACAAAACAGGCAAAGACATGCACAAACATGTTTTTTTTCTTTTTTGCCGATGCGCATGTACCAAATCGTATCTGCATACCTGCATGCCGTACCAAAGCACAAATTGTATGTATTTATCAAGGGTAAACAATATGCCCGATTGTCTTAGGCGCAGCGCAGTGTATTGTAAGAAATTGAATTGAAAGCAAAACAACGGCAACAGCAGCAACCGGAGAGAGTACAAGTGGAGGAAGAATGTAAGTGGAGAAGTAGATGCCGAAACAAGACGCAGGCATAAGCCAAGCGCGGCATAAGGGCGTGAGTGGCAATGTGACTCGTAATTGATCTAATTGAGCGCAGGTACACACACACACACACGCACACTTGAATATTTTTTATGTGCTTGTGTGTGTGTGTGTGTGGGACACAAGGCGATACTTGGGCAAACAGGCAGCGCATAATAAGCAAATTAGAGGCGTACATTTCCAGCCCCTCTCCATCCCTCTCACACACGGGCACACACACACACAGGCACTCACTCACTATCTCGCTCAGCAGCAGTTGGCTGCTTAACGGAAGTGCGTGACTTTTCTGTTTTACGTGTTTTTGCCCTTCTCTTCTCTTTCATCCTCAGCACCTTTTGCGGAACTGTGCGACTTATTTATGAAGCTTGAAACAAGCCATTTCCAGTTTTGTTTCCATTTGCATTTCCATTTGCGTATGTCAGCGGCACACTGAACTGTTAATGCGGGCCTAACTAATATTACGGTTTCTACACCCTCTCTCCCCCGCCAAACCACCTACAATAACGACCTCACGCGTAGCCTCAGCGTATGCTATGCTAATGTGTTACACAAGCGCTGCAAAGTATGCAACAGCAATTGCGGCTTCAACTTTTGAGCTGGCAATGCGTCGCGCTTAGAGATGGGCGCGTGTCAACATTTTTAATCGATATCCAAGCACGATCGCAACTTCGTGCTAAAACGGGTTCAAAATGTGTTCGCATTTTGCTGTCAATCGGTGAAACTGCAAAGTAATCGAAAGTAGCCACACTCGATAGTTTCGATAATTCGATAAATATAACTATTCAAGTTCTTTAGAGCTTTGTGTGACACATATATATCAAGCATTATTATACAAAACTATCGCTAAAAGAAATCGAAAAATAGAAATATTTATGCAAATTATTTTTGGTATTTTCTAAATACTAAGAAAACTAGTCTTAAATACGTTTAACCAGATTTCGGAAGGCAAAGAAAACCTAATACTTTGTTATCTCTAGTATTCTTGCAATTCATAATGCTTTCCATAGAACATAATCCAGCTGTAATCCCAAGTTGAATACACATTTCCGTCTAACATATTTCGCTCTATTAACTCGTGCTTTAAAATAGATTATTATGATCTAAGGGAACTAGGCAATAGTTGGATATACGGTCTAGTATTTACTGTACACATAGCTTTTTGATAAATCGATAGATTCTAGTTCCGAGCTGTCTATGATTTAGGCTGATTGACTAAATCAGCGTATAGCTCTATGAGTCCCCCTTTAACAAGCATTTCCCAACAAAGAAATTGTTTACCTTCGTTCAATGACGTATCGTTTAGCGCCGTATCAAAGTGTATTCGAGGCAGTGTCTTCGATTTGTACTCACCTGCAAAGAAAAGGTGGAGAGAGAGGGAGAGAGAGAGAGAGAATGAAGGTTAGGCAATTGTGTATAGAGTATTATCAATAGTGCGTGTCTAGATAATGGGCATTATTTAATGCCAGTTACAGTTAGTTCTCAAGTGAACCGAAACGCAAAACCAAGCGACGTCCAACAATAAAGCGACCCATTTACATGGTTTGACCTTTTGCTCGGCTGCAAATTGCATGGCGATGTCAAGTTGTTATGAATTCATTTCAATTAATGCAAAATATGAATAGCCAACGGCAACAACAGCATTGACAACAACTTTAACAACAACATTGACAGCAACAACAACAAAATGCGCCAATTCAGCGCCGAGCGCAATTTATGTGCATACAGAAATGTGTCGTCAAATGACAAAGACTTCGCTTCGTTCAGATAAAGATACAGATACAGTAACAGATACAGATACAGATACAGATACAGATACAGATACATTTACACAAAAGATACGCGCATTCAGTAGCAGCAGCTGTCAAAGCAGCTACGACCCACCGGGGGCAAGGGGTGCGCCACGTGTGTGAATGCCCATTGAAATGGCCTTCGCTTAGAAAGTCGTCGTCTCCATGACCATTCCACACATCCCCCCCCCCCCCTTTCCCTCCCCCACCCCTCTGGAGTTGCTTCCAATTGAGGGCAGACCCTGCTGACGTAGCGATCAGACGGATAGAAAGCAATTGTACGCGTTGCTCGACCAGCAGATACTCTGTTTACAAAGTAAACATAACCTAAAATCAATTAATACTCACATCCTGTTTAGAATTTACGGGTATGGAAAAGCTTGAAACTGTTTTAGCTAACTATTAACAAGCATTAGAAAGCTGGAAACACTTTCAGCTAAGTATTTTCAGGCATTGGAAGGCTTAAACACTTCCAGCGAACTATTAAGCGGCATTGGAAAGCTGGAAACGTTTCCAGCCAAGCATTTACAGGCATTGGAAGGCATGAAAAACATCCAGCTAAGTATTTACAGGCCTAGGCTGGAAAGGCACTGCTCTAACTTGTTGATTTGTTGATAACAAACTAAGTAACTAAGATTAAATATCGAAATTTTTCACAAAAAACCACCTCCGAAAATGATTTTAATCTTTCTGGCGATTCCTTTGGAACATCCCTGCCAAATAATGTCTGATATATGAATTATATACCATTTTCGACTCGTGCGGATCATGACTAAAGATTAAAGAGCTTAGATATTGATGTATCAAGAAGTAGATTTGTACGATATATTGAACGATAAGTTGACAGCATTAAGTCATACTTGCTTTCGGATCAGACATATATAGAATTCTTCTTTATTCCAGACATATAGATTCACAAATTAGACGGTTTGGGTTGATCTCAATTAAAGCAGGGTATCATATGAGATGCCTACCGAACAAATACTCTTTCTATCGACTTGTTTTACAGGGTATACGTAATGTGTAGAAGCACAAGGAAGCGCTGGCTATAAACGACTTGCACATCAAATTAAACCCATGTTGTACTCGCAGATAGTCCGTTTGGAAGTTGAGAATCATTGAATGATTCAACCAATTGTGCATTCCCATTGACTGCACTCGCTTCCACAGAATATTACACACTCTACATGTGTGTGTGTGTGTGTGTGTGTGTGTGTGTGTGATAATGTTTCTTCAGTTGTCTTGAATTGCATTTCAATGGAAACTCAACTCATTCGATTTCATTTCGTTCCGTATCATTTCAGTACCTTTGTCTAATTGTTGTTTAATGTTCGGCTGGTAACCTTTTACGTCTAGCGGTTTGCCTGTACAGGTAACGCATACTAGTGCCATGCGGATTACGTATTATGTTCTTGCCACACAATGTTGCATGGTCAGCGGCAGCAGTTACCGTTAGCTAAGATCGATTAACGCTGCGGCAGACAGCATCAGCATTATGATTTCGCCAGCCAATTCGCCGCCAATTCGCCCCAATTACTACGTGCGACGTTCTTCTTTCCATTCGCTCTCGCATCTTCATTCGCACTTATTCGCCAACTGTAAATCGAGTGCGCTGCCCCCTCCCCACTAATGACATCAAAGCAAATCAGCCAAACCCCCCCCCCCCCCCCCCCCCCCCCCCCTCCACGCGCCTTACCCTCCTGTTTCAGCAGCTGGTGATGTCATTGGCATCATGCGGAGTGCGTATCATCAAATGTGATACATTAACGTATCCAATTTGTCGAGTTGTAGTTCACATTCTCTCGTTCTCATTAGCATGCTGCTTCTTCTTCCCATTTTTTATGGTCTATTTTGTCCCAGAGTGGGAATATTTTTCGATATATTTCGATAAGAAAGTCCGAGCGCATTACTATATCTGTGCAAATAACTGTGAAAGTCTATAAGGGATTACGTTTTTTTCGCTTTACAGTTAATCGCATATCCATCAGAGTTATAGCCTATAATCTCCAAGTGGAAACAATTGAGGCTGCTTTTCCTTTCAAAATCTTTAGATTTTCTTGTTTGAATATTAACTATTCGAATATTCGGAATTGTTTTTAGCATTAAATGGTATTTTGGGTGTTTTTCGAAATATTCACCCACAATTGTGAAAAATTGATGGAATCAAGCTTATACACATTTTAAAAGAGCTTTATGAAAACTCAATTGAAATGTGTTTCACGCATTTGAAAATAATTCACTCTCTTAGGTGAAAAATGTATCTTTTCTTTAAAAAACACTATTTAAATCTTATGAGTAGCTCGGAAAATGCGTTGAGAAGGCGTACAGAAGGCACTATTCTCGTGAAATTGATTTTGCTGTTTCATCGTTTGCGAAAAATCCACGCTAGTGAGTGAAAATGCGCGTTGATTTAATGCAGAGAACTTTGAGTAGGAATATTTATCAGGAAAATACTGGATAGTACATATACATTCGATTGGAACTCCCATAAAGGTATATACATATATACGTATATATACTTTTATATAGTCCATAATCAGCACATATAGGTACATGCATACA